CGCACGGGCGGCGCCGGCGGCGGCGCCGCGCTCCGCGGGGCGCGGGCGGAAGTCCTCCCCCGCCTGGCTGAGCACGCCGCACGCCAGCAGGGCGCGCCGGTGGCGCCACAGCTCCCGCAGCCACCCCTCCACGGCCTGGACCAGCGCGGAGCCGCGCCCCGGCCCGCGCCCGCGCTGCTGCCGCACTGCGCCGCCGCCGCCGAGCCCGGTCGCCAGCTCTGGCAGGCGGCGCAGCAGCACCAGCTGGGCCCGCTGGAGCAGCGCCAGCGCGTGGCTCAGGGGCTTTGGCGGGGTGCCCACGCTGAGGCAGTCGCGCCGCAACTGCGCCATCAGGCCGCCCGTGAGCACCTCCAGGGTCACCCCCAGGCGCGCCAGGGCCTCCTCTGGCCGCCGCTGCTGCTGCTGCTGCTGCTGCTGCTGCTGCTGTTGCTCCTGCTCCTGCTGCTGCTGCTCTTGCTGAGCAGAGTTGGGCGAGCCGTCCCTGTTCCCCCACGGGCAGCAGCCGCTGTCGTCATCGCCGTCGCTGACTGCACTGGTAGCACAGCAGCCGCCAACAGCCGTCGCCAGCAGCGCCTCGAGCTGCGCCAGGGTCTTGGGCGGCGGCTGCAGCGGCGCGTCGGTGCCTCCTTCGGAGCCGGCGGCCGCCCAGGCCGACTGCAGCAGCCGCCAGAGGGGCTCCAGCAGCGGCAGGCCAAAGGCGTTGGCTAGGCGGCCAACGGCCGGCGCCGCCAGCAGCTCGTGGTGGTGCAGGTGCCTCAGGGCAGACAGGGCCTCACTCTGCGGGTGGAGGCGGCGCAGAAAGAAAGCACGGCAGGGGCCGCGCCGCGCAGTGCGAGCGTCAAGGCGGCCTCGAGGCAGCCGAGAGGAAGCTGCTCGGCAGCCGCGGCTAGAGCCCTGAAGCCACCCCCATCCCCAGCACCCCAGCTTGTGTGCCCTGGTCATGCGCACAGCCACCCGGTGTGCTGCGCCCCGCATTGTCCCAAATTCGGATGACCCACCATCTCGTTTGCTGTGGCGCCCCTCTTCACGAACAGCAGTCCAGTTCGCGTCGTGAGGCGCCGCCGCGCGCTGCGCTCCCCGCTGTTGCGCGCGGCGGCGAAGTTGATGCGGTCAAACAGCTCCTCGCTCTCGGGCAGCCACTTGCAGGAGTGCGCGACGCGGGTCTCCAGCAGCAGCAGCGGCGGCAGCTCAGCGCACGCCTCCGCGGCCGCGTGGATGCCGGCCAGCTGCGCCAGTGCCAGCAGCGCGGACGCGTGCAGGGGCGTGGCGACGCCGTAGCACGCGCCCGGTCTGGACGCGAGGGGCGCGGCGGCGCCAGGGGTCGCCAGGGCAGGATGCCTGTTGGGCAGTGGGGGCGTCATGCCGGGCCTCAGCAGGGCGGCTGCCATGCAGAATGCCGCAGGTCGTGCTGCCTGGGAACCGCCATTTGCCGTGCATATCTGAGAGGATGAGGGACCTGAGGGCAGGCATGCGAAAGCAGGCAAGCAATCAGGCATGGAACGATTGTCGTGTCCAGGGGTGTTGCCACCAAGTGGTGCCAGCCTGCTCACCCGTCCGCGTCCAGGGCCCCAGGCGCCCACAGTGCGGCCAGCACGTCTGATATGAGCCACCACTGGTGCTGGGGCCTCAGGGACGCAAACAGCGGCTCGCAGCATGCCTCGCTGTACGGCCACGCGGTGCATCTGCCGCCCCCGCCGCAGCCGGCGTCGCGACCGTCGCCCGCCGCCGCCTCAGCAGTGGCGTAATAGTGGCACGTCGCCGCGTGCAGCAACACCATCGCCACGGCCAGCCGCTCGGCTTGCGGGAGGCCAAGAAGGTGCCCAAACCCCGGCCGCTGCGTGGCGCGCGCCAGGGCTGCGCGGCACCACGGCCCCAGCAAGTTGTGCGGCTGCTGCCCAGCCAGGCGTGCCGCATCGAGCGGGTCGGTGCCACGGGGCAAGAGCTCCTCAAACACGGCCCCGCCGAACTCCTGAGCCAGGCCCCTGCCCTCGAGCTTGGAGACGACATGCGCGCCTGGGGCCAGCAACACAGCACAGCATGAGCAGCGTGAACGGGCGCGGCGGTGTAGCACTACATGGCAGCTGCAAGGGCGTCGCCTGCCGCACGGCGGAACTACGTACTCTCCTGAAAGCCCATAGATCGCATGCCCACCTCTTTCAAGGGCCTGCAGCCACGCGGCCTGGAGCTCGGGGTCGGTGTACAGCGCGCGCGCCTGCCGAGACAGCAGATCCGCCACGAACCCCATTCTGTAAGACCTTTCTAGCCTTTGCGCTGCGTGGGTTGGCTGCTCGCCATCTGGGCAGGTTCTACGTGATCTTATCCGATCACGCGGGAGGATATGTGCGACAGAGAGAGCCACTGACGGACCTCTTAGCGGTTGGCCGCACTTCACAATGGGCACAAAATTCCGGCGTAAACATGGCGGAAGCAGTCAACGCGGCGCGGGCGCGCTCCGCCCCACCACTCAAGGGGCGCTTGCTGTCGTGCACAAGTGGGGACTCATGTTAATGTGAGACGTGTCCCAGGGACCACTGTCCAGTCGGGCACTCGGGGTGACGCATTGCACTTTTGTCGCCCTACCTGTGCTGCACAAGTCCCATCGCGGCCTGCACATTCCTGCAGGGACATGCTGGCCTCGATAGAATGTGGCCACGCTGCGCTGGGCTCGCTGCCATCAGGGCCAAGGCAAGCGGCCAGGAAGTTGCCGGGCGCGTTCGCCGTGCTGCACTCACAGCCTGCTGCCGCTCGCAGCTTCGACACCGTCTGTCCGCTCGATGTGCCCCGCTGGATCCGACGCTTCAAGTGCGGCTTACTTCCGCCCCAAAAACCGTGAGGCTGGGATAGTGCGACAGCTGCACGCAGCTGAGGTTGAAATCGTACTCAACGGGCTTTACTTACTCATGGGGTTATTCTTTACAAGGGGGGTGAGGTGATGGATGCAGGCGATGCAGCCTCCTAGAAGGCGCCTGCACTGATCACCCTTCCGCTGCGCTTGAATCTCCCTTCAGATCTGTCAAATCCAGAGAGTCAGGATGATGTGCAGCCATCCCTGAACACCTGCCATGACGGCAATTACTATATAAATGACAAAATTCCAAAGGGACCAGACACGCTGAAAAAAGGCTTGCCAAGCTCGCTCGAACAAAGGTTTGAGGGATGTCATCCTGCTGCTCTCCCTTCTCCTGCCAAACCCACATCCTGCTGCAAGGAATCGACGCGTTCAAGCAAGGTGGCATGCAGCCGTGGCACTCTCATTCTTGGACAAAATCCTGCGTACAAGTATCTCACGTGGGCAAGTGCAAGCAAACAGCAAACACGCTCTGCAAGAAAGCAATCAAAGGAACCATCAAGTAAAGCTCATATAGTAGCCTACAAGCTTGCTCCTGGGAAACATGGACCCAGGAGGACCAGGGTCGAGGAGGCTGCTGTTTTTGGGGTTGTGGTTTTGAATAGGCTAGATGTTGGACAGCGGTATCACGACCAGTTGAAGGTATTTGGCAATGCTCGCGTATGGTTTATTTGGCGTCGCATTTGGAAGCATTATCAGTGTCTGCTGTGTAATAAAACTCCGGCCGCTCCGGGTCAAACCTGGCGCGCAGCACGGCGCCCTTGGCCGACAGCAGCCGCAGCCGCCAGCAGTTGCGCGCGTGCAGCGGGGACGCCCGCGCAGCGCAGGCTTGGCTGCAGTAACGCGCGCAGCCGCAGGACGCGCACTCCAAGCCGCCGCCGCTCTGGCCGCCCGTGAGTGCCTCTTCCGCACACCAGTCGCACTCCTTGGCAGCCGGCGGCTGCGCAGCTGCGGCCGCTGCTCCCGCGGTCCTGCCTCCCCCCAGCAGGTGGTCTGCGTGGAACCAGGGGGCGGCCGCCAGCAGGGCCCCGGGGCCCACCGCCTCGGCCGCACGGTCTATGGCCTCCAGGCTGCGGGGGGGGGGGGGTTGGGTGGCGAAGCGTGCGTGGACTTGCCTGATTCAGGGGTTCAGATCACATCAAAGGTGCAGCATGTCATATGTGGGGGCTGCAACTCAGCGACTATCCATTCCGCTCGGCGTCCCTTGCCCCACTTGTGGCCAGTGGCTGCACTGCGTCTGCCACTTCCGCTGCCCAAGACTCTGCCATTGAGTGCGTCTGAGAGCTATCCAGCCGCCTGTGTCACTCACAAATGCGCAACCTCGGGGTTGCCCTGGCGCGGCCAGTACCAAGCCGTCGCGTGCGGCGGCCGCTCCTGCTGCAGCCAGTCCGCCCTCGCCGCCTCCGCCAGCCCCGCCAGCCGCTGGTGGTACTCCGCCGCCAGCCCGCACCACGGCCCCGCCGCCGCCGCGTCCGCCACCACGCCCGCCTGCAGCAGCAGCAGCGCGCCGCGCCGCGCGGAGGCGGTCGCGTCGGGCTGGAAAAGATATGGCCGGGTGATGATAGACGCGAGCAGCTGCACCGCCGCCGACCCGGCCTCGACGCCAGCGCTGCCGGCGGCCTCGGCCCAGTCCTCAAACCTGTTTCCCTGGTCAATGATTGCGTTAAGGGCCTCCAGCGTCACGCCCGCGCGCAGCAGCTGGACCGCCGCCTCGAGGATGCGCTTGTGGGCGCGCTCGTCCTCCGCCTGCAACCCGCCAGCGGGTGGCAGCCACCCGGCGTTGGCGGCCGCCGCGACCGCGGCG